AATTGTATTGGCCTGATTCTATGCTGTTTCTCCATCTGTTATATGTTTCACAGAGATGATCCGTTCATTGAGGGGATAGAGAATTTGGACAGCAGAACACAAGAGGGTGATGATGAACAGCCGGGTACTAGGTATGTCATGTGAAACACTTTTCAGCCACAACTCTGTGAAATATATCAAAAGGAAACCCTGTAAATTACACACAAGTTCATGATGTTCTGTCCTCTGCTTTATTTATCTGATTAGTTCATTCTGCATTGGACGCATATGCTGATGTCAGTGAGGAGCAGTTCAATGACATTCAAAATTCTACGTAAGTGGTGTTCTCAAAACAATGTATGGACATAAAAGCTAAGAAAAAAAAACGAGACCTCTTTTAAATAATGTGCATTACTACTTAGAATTGACTGGGGTGATGATGACACCTGGGACCCTGACTGGGGTGATGATGACACCTGGGACCCTGACTGGGGTGATGATGACACCTGGGACCCTGACTGGGGTGATGATGACACCTGGGACCCTGACATGGAGGAAGACTCTGTCTCATCGTTGGAGGAAGATGTGACCAAGGAAATTGACACATACAGTGACGAGAGTGATTCTGATTATGTGCCTCGTGTTTGTGTGCGGTAAGCTATATTCTGTACCACTACCTTACCTTACTATCTGTGAGTGATGTTGTTATTGCTGTTATCATTTTTCTGTATCTTGTTTATTCTACAGAACAGGAGGTGCTCTGACGACGAACCTACGTTTGGAAACACTGCCAACAGTCACCTTAGAAGAATCGGTTCTTGATGTGGACTTCAACCGTGATCCGGCAAGGCCAGACACGCCGTTGCCAGAGGCGATGAAAGTTGAGGTAGAAGATGATGTGATTGGCCATCCTGCGTCAATTGTGTACCACGATTGTCTGAAGCAGCTTGCGGGGTGCGTTGCCTTGCCAATGGCCGAATGCACAGAAAAAGAACCGATGACAAACAAGCCGTGCCCTGCAAAGGCGCCTTTTGAAATTCGGGTAAAATCCCGGGGCACAGCAGCTGTTGTAGAATGGGTGAGTTGTCACAAATGTATTATATATTTCCATATGAGTCATATGGTGAAGTGGCTGTTCTATGTATTCTGTTAAACAAACCCCCCCATCCCCGTTTTTGACTGTGTTTTCAGATGTGCTCTCGGGGTCATTTGGTGTGGCGATGGAGTTCACAGTCCTTGTTCAAGTTTGGAATGTTGGCCGGGGACTTCATGCTAGCCACCAATATATTGCTCTCAGGCAACAACTATGCCAAAATTGCACTGCTTTTCCAGTTTATGAATATGGGGATGGTTGACAGGACCAACTTCTTCAAGATCCAGGACTCCTTCTGTGTTGAGAGCGTAAAAGAGTTCTGGAATGACAAGAGGGCCAAAGTGATTGCTCAGCTAAAACAACGAGGGCCTGTTGTGGTCCTTGGTGAGTTGTGAAGACACACACACACACACACACACACACACACACACACACTCTAATTATTTCTCATTTTTTATTCAAAGGTGATGGTCGTATGGACAGTCCGGGGTTCTGTGCACAATACTGCACATACACAGCCATGGATAATGATTCGAAGCAAATAATTTCCATGGTAAACCTTGACAAACGGGAGACTAACAGAAATTCTGTCATTATGGAGAAGGAGGGCTTTGTGCGTACCCTGGAGACACTTCGTGAAGAGCTGAATGTGACCGAAGTTTGCACAGATGCACACAGTCAAATAGCAGCACTTTTTAGTAAGTAATTTCTATATTACTGTACAGCTTCACCATACAGCTGTTATTGGATGATGTATTCATCATCTTTCTGCACCATTCAGATAAAGGGCTGTTCAAAGACAGTGGCATACACCATTCTTGGGACATCTGGCATGGCTCGAAGAACCTCAATAAGAAGCTTGTGGCGGTATGTTTATTTGCAATTGCATGCTTTTGATCCACTAACTTCATATGTGTTTTGCGAGATTTCTGACATTGTTTACTGCTCTGATATCCTGTTCAATGTCCAGGCAGGACAGCAAAAGGGATGCGCTGGTTTACTAGCATGGAGCAGGGATATTTGCAACCATTTCTGGCACTGCTGCAAGACTTCAAACTCCTATCGACAGTTTATGGTAAGTAGCCTAGTACAGAAATATTAAAATTTTTAATTGATGTCCTCATTGACTGGACAATGTAAGCATAGTCTGGCCACATTTCTCCTCAATATGTTGGTGGTAGATGTCATCCAGTTTAATGTACACTTTGTGTAACTTAGTAACCTTACATTTTTCTTACTTAGCCAAATGTTGGGATGGTACAGTGTAACAGCAACTATTGTATTGCTGGTAACACCATCTTGCTGGAAACGTCATGTCAATTTATACTTACCACGGGTTATTTGTCCAACAACATTGGAACCTTCTTACGCGCACTGAGACTCCTTATTTGAGAATACAACTCCTTACTGCTTGTTTTTAGGACATGTGGTCGGGACTGCTGCACCATGTCACCGGAGAGCATGAGTGGTCCCTGTACTCCTGTCACCATGGCCCTCTGGAGGACAGCAGAGACAAGGAATGGATCGAGGCAGACAGTTTGGCACACCAAAGACTGAGAGAAATTGTTCTCGACGCACGCTGGCTGAAGAACATTGACAAATACCTTCACTTCAGGTAAACCTGCAAATGGTCATGACTTTCCTCTACCCAGAGCAATGGCCTTTTGGCACCGGGTATG